TCTACACGTGTATGCATCAATGTAGATGCAAATCTCAAAAGGCTAATTTTCATGTTATTTCATCTAGACTAGTTTGAAAATTATGTACTATGGAATAATATACTGCTTCGCATTGCATGACAATGTGGGAAGTGGTCAAGAAAAGCAGGGGCGGGGCTAGACCCAGAATTTGGGATTGTAGGAAAGGGATGAGATCAGAGGATTAATCATGTTTCCATCTTTTTTAAAAAATGATTTTTATTTTTATTTGACAGAGTAAGAGAGCACAAGCACGGGGAGCAGCAGAGGGAGAGGGAGCCTGATGGGGGGCTTGATCCCATGATCCCCTGGGATCATGACCTGAGCCAAAAGCAGATGCTTAACCAACTGAGCTACCCAGGTGTCCCTATTTCCATCTTTTTACCTGGGGGCAGGCTACAGGGTGTAGTAAGAATTCTAACATGGACCCAATGATCTCCGTCCCCTAGTGTTACGCCTGCAACTATGTCACTTAATATTGCAAAAGGGGTTTTACAGATGTAATCAAGGTAATTTATCAGTTGATTTCCAGTTAATCCAAAGGGAGGTTGTCTGGGTGGGTCTAACCTGATCAGAGAAACTCTTTAAAAGCAGACTTTTTTCCAGCTAGTTGCAGAATAGGAAGCCAGAGATTCAAAGCAGGAGAAGGCTGTGACTGGCATGCCATTGCTGGCTTGAAGATAGAGGGGCCGTGTATGTCAAAAACTCAGGACTTAAATTCTTCAATGGCAAGGAACTGAATTCTGCCAGCAAGACTAGCTTGGATGCTGATTCTTCCCTAGAGCGTCAAATGAGAATTCAAGCTGGCCATCATCTTTTTTTTTTTTTTAAGATTTTATTCATTTATTTGAGAGAGAGAGAGAGCATGACCAGGGGGGAAGGGCAGAGGGAGAGGGAGAAGCAGGCTCCCTGCTGAGCAGAGAGCCCAATGTAGCACTTGATCCCAGGACCCTGGGATCATGACCTGAGCTGAAGGCAGATGCTTAATTGACTGAGCCACCCAGGTGTCCCAAGCTGGCCATCATCTTCACTTCACCCTTGTGCTATAAGCTCAGCAGAAAACCCCGTCCCACCACGCTGGACTTCCGGCACACGGAGCCGTGAACTAATGAATGGATGTTGTCTTAAGCAGCTAGGTTTGTGGTAATGTGTTCCGGAGCAATAGGAAACTGATATACATGGGTTATTTATATTGTTGTAGTTGTACATTTTTATATATGCTGTAGATAGTCTTTGGGGTGATTTCATTATTTAATAAACTTTTTTGTTGTTTGCAGAATATTTTTGAAATTTATTTTTAATGAGATGTAATTGACAAATAACGTTGTGTAAGTTGAAGGTGTACAAATGTGTTGACTTGATACATTTATATATTAAAGAGAAAGTCAGCAATGAATTCTCTTGACTTCAGTGTGCCTTCAACAGTGCAGATGTTGACGAGGTGGGGGGGTGGTCTGTGAAAAAAAATCTGACCCATGCGATAATGACAATATGTCTTCCAGATAAATCATGGGTCATGGGCCCTTTTTTATGATGTCTTTTAGTAGACCGCATAAAGTTACCAAGCAAAGATTACGAGGCTGGGCTAAGAATGCAGACTACTATTTATGGAGGCCCAGAATTTGGGAAATGATTCAGGCCTGTTTATTCCGTGTAATGATGTTATTGTTGCACTAAACATAGGGGTTGTAAAGTGATTCTGTGTGTTGGTCTAAATGTGTAAATATTTCTGTTATGGCATCCGTATGCCCACCGACCATGAATATTTTATGGTGTGCTTGAATTAAATCCATTACAATCAAAGAAGGCATTTGAACTTGGAGTGAAGCTGGCATGGCTGCCGGTGTCCTGAACCCAACAGGCATGAAATTACTACTAATAATACAAGGAAATAGGGGCATAAAACGCTGGAGCCTTAAGAAGGCAACACTGTTGACGCTAAAAATACGTTTTAACAGATTTTACAGATGTGTGATGAATGGCACCAGATAAATGAAACCTAATGTAAATAATCAGCCACAAGATGGCATTTGAATACTGATGTATTTAAAGTTTGGGACCGTATTGTGACTTAAACACATGCTTGTCTCAACCTCTTCCCTCCCCTGGTCACTTTTTCTCATAGCACCATGTCATAAGACCATCAGGCTTATTTTCTTTAGAGCCTAATTATCCTAAATATTTATTTTTCAGTTTGTTTTTTTAAAATCTCTGGTGATGGTTAGTTTTATGTATCAATCTGACTGAGCCATGACGTGCCCAGATATTTGGTCAAACATGACTGTGTCCCGTCTCTGTGAAATTTTTGGATGAGATTAACATTTTAATTGGTAGGCTGAGTAAAGAAGATTGTTCTCCATAACATGGGTGGGCCCCATCTAATCAGGTGAAGGCCTGAATAAGGACGAAACTTCCCCAACCTTCTCCTGTCTGATGACCTTCAAACTGTAACACCGGCTCTCCCTGGTTCTATGGCAGCCTACCGGTCTTCAGATTCAAACTGGGACATGGGCCCTGCAGATTTTGGACTTAATTATGTGAATCAGTTCCTTATAACAAATCTATCATCTCTCTTTCATCGACTCTATCGATGAATCTGTCATCTATCTGTCCAACTGGTTCCATTTCTCTGGAGCATCCTGACTACTATATCTCTCAATTTATTGTTGACAAACTCCCTACTATTACGAACGTTCCATAAAGGGAAGGGCTTTGTTTCGTTTGTTATTATATCCCTGGTGGTCAGGCAGGCCCTTAAAAATTATACAAACGATATTTGCTGAGTGAAAGTATCTCGCTGGGGGAGCCGTGTTGCCTTTAGGTTTGTGGGATGGCACTGAAGGGGACACATGTTAGCTCAAGAAAGCAGCCTCTACTTGGGTGAGTGGTGAAACATGTCCTGTTGTTGCAAAAAGTAAAACGGAAGAGAATTTTTAAGAGTCAAAGCGTATTATTACTCAAAGGGGAAGTTTATGTAAATTCAGCTAAAAGGCAGGGGTAATCTATTCATGAGTTTTAAATTTTGTTTGTAGAGATTTGGAAATTATATAGGTTGATAAAGAAAAATGAGACTCTTATCCCTAAGTTTTGGCTAGCTCTGGAATCTCTAATCAGATGGTTCTGTTGCCCCAGAGATCCTGAGTCTTGACCATGTCATTCAGCTGAAAGCAAAGTGCAAAGAGATCAGTGTCAGTCATGATTACAAATCTCAGTTGCCTCTGTTAGGAAGCCATGGAAGGTATAGAAACCATTGCTGATGGATGTGAGCTGAGGGGCTCATGCGTCATGTCTGTGACCTGCAGATTCGATTACAAATCACCATGTCTCACTGCATCGTGTCGCCATGATAAAGCAGGTAGTTCTCCCCTGTGAGCAGTCTTACAAACTTAAAAAAAAAAAAATCAGGTGAGAAATATATTCTGTGTGACTGGCTTATTGAGTGGGCTGAACAGAGTCAGGGTACCATCCGAAAAGGCACTGTTTTTCTCTCGCGCTGCCTTTAGACAAGCTCTTTCTGGTGTCCCTTTCCCTGGTCCCCACTGGCAGCATGTCTACTTTCAGTGGTGAGAGCTGTCAGGTTTTCAGATGTTACAAGTCCACCCAAAACAGCCCCTCGGCTCCAATACCAGCCACTCCTCTCCTCCCCCTTCTGCCTGGAAGCTGTGGTTCACGGATCTGCTGTGGGGTCAGGTGAGTTTGCAATCTCTTTGGAACCTATAATTTTGTCCCAATTAATTGACATTTCAGTATCCTGAAACTGGCCCCGGACATGGGAGGCAGGGGAAGGCAGAGAGAGAGACGGAAGAAAAAGGAAAGCCACTCCGTATTAGTAAGCAAGGGAACTTAGGAGGCTTGTCTTGGCGGTGGCAAGTGGAGTAGATCTCCGCACCTGCCTGCCAGAATCTTAAGTTTATATGGAACCTATAACTGGGTTCAGTCGGGTGTCCAGTCCGGACTTCTGTCTCAACACCACATTTCTGTCTCAACGCTGTATCTTTGGAGCAGCAGACGGGACAGGGGCTGGGGAGCCTCCGATTGCCTGGGTCCAGCTCAAGGGTCAACTGGCATCGCATCTTTTTTTGGGGGGGGGAGTGGAGGGGCATATTACAGAATGTTTTATTCTTTTTTTAACTTATTGAGAGATAATTGACATACAATATTATATTAGTTTCAGGTGTACAACATCGTGATTTGATATTTGTATACATTGCAAAGTGGTCACCGTAGTGTCTGTCACTTTACAAAGTTACCCTCTGTCACCTTACAAAGTTAATACAGTGTTATCGACTGTATTGCCAGGATGTACACGGTCACATCTTCTTGATGACCTCCTCCAACAGCTCTGTGCTTTCATGAATGCTCCACCTTGATCTCACACTTCTCCATTAACTACTGTTTTCCTAGGTGGAGGTGGGACAAGGAGCGGGAAGAAGGGGAGAGAGGAAAAGGGGCAAAGTTCTCTTCAGAGGGGTGGCGCTGTTTATAGTCCTCTCCGCAGCGTCAAATCGCCCTCTGTCATACGGACCTCCAAATGCTGGCTCTTTTGGGGGGCATATTAGCGGATCCTTCAGAGAAGCCCAATGGGGAGCTCCGCCCCGCACTCTCCTGACCCCTCCCACCTTCACCCTACTTCCTGCTCGCCTGTCATAACTCTCCCCCCACTCTTTCTTCACGGTCTCTTCATCCTGACTGGGAGCCCCCTTGGTGGCGGGGGTGGGGGGGTCCTTTGAAGCTCGCTCATGCTCAGTCACCTGCCACAGCACCCTTAGCCCATGGAGCGCGGGCTCACGGGCCCCCTCCTTCTCAAACGGTGCAAGTACAGATGGCTGGACGACTGCCCCCTGCAGCCTCTGTTCTCTAGCGCCCTGAGGGCAGCTCGAGAGCGCCTCCTGCCCTCAGATTCTTCCAGCTGGGAAGCCGGCGGCCCCCCCCCCCCCCGTGGCGCCCCCCCCCCCGCCCCGCCACCTTTCCCCTTTGACTAAGCACCAGCCACACCCTGCTGAACTGGAGCTGGGGCCTCTCACTGCTTTGTTCTCTGCCCAGGCCTGGGAGACGCCCCCGCAGTCAGTCCGCCTGGTCATCTGATTTTCAACATTTGCTCAGGTAATAGATTTTAATTTTTTTTTTTTTAAATTAAAGGGAGCCTTCCAATTGTATATACTTAAGTCCCACAAAACCCGGTTATCCCATCTCCTGGGAGAAACTTCTCTCTGACTATTTAAGGAACACCAAAGGTAGGAGAATAAAATGCGATGGGTAGGCCCTGACCCCCCAGTTTGTCTTATTTTAAGAAACTGGCTTTCAGGGCTCCAATTGATTGGGACATATATTAAGTTAAAATTTGCGGAAGTGTGTTTTGCCCTCATTATTCTAGGTAACTCCGTGGCCAATGGGACACATATCTCTGTCAATCTACCTGGTCTATCAACATAGATACTTTAAAAAAATGAAGTGGAAGCATACACATAATTCTTCAATTTTCTTCTTAATATATTATAGGCATTTCCTTGTCTCTCTGTATAAATCTATCTCATAGTGTATGATAATTTTTGTCCCAATTAATTGACATTTAGATTATTCTAATTTTTCCTTATTATAAACATACTTTTTTTTAAAGATTTTATTTATTTATTTGACAGAGAGAGACACAGCGAGAGAGGGAACACAAGCAGAGGGAGTGGGAGAGGGAGAAGCAGGCTTCCTGCGGAGCAGGGAGCCTGATACAGGGCTCGATTCCAGGACCCTGGGATCATGACCTGAGCTGAAGGCAGACACTTAACGACTAAGCCACCCAGGTGCCCCATAAACATACTTCTTTTATGTGATTTTACTGTCCAACCGGGTCATACAAATTTACACTCACCAAGACTGTATGACAATACCCATACACCCTTGATAAGAGCAGGTGCAATAAATCTTTTTAATTTTTGTCAAATATATAGGCTCTAAACTGTATCTCCTTCCTTTAGTTTGAAAAAATATGTTATGTGAAATTGAACATTTTTACCTATGTGTATTAACTTTTCAACTTATTTAACTTTTATTTCTTCTATAGCGAATTGATACTTTATATTCTCCTATCTTTTAGCTTTGACTATGGACAGCCATTAGGTCAATGTTAGTATAGACTGCACAGGATGGGTAAAGCTCAAGCTTTTCAAGAGCCTGTCGTGGCATTACCTCCTGGCAGGTAACTGTACTTAGTGTGGAGTTATCTACTGACAAGGGATACTTTTTCTATAGATGAGCAATTGCACAATGTGTGTGGGGGCTGAGATTACTTAGTGCAACTGGAGTGTGGCCAGAGGGCCTGGCCCAGACAGCGGGTGTGCAGGCTGCAATGAGGGGAAGGGTTTAAGACTAAGGTTTTGCTGCATGACCTTGATTTTCAGAGTCTTCAGGAAAGATCGGGGTGGGATTAGACCTCTTTGGCCATTGGTGGTGAGAATAGTATTTACTGCTCTGAACTGCAAGGAAGCTGAGTTCTGCCTGCTCAAGAGAGCCCTACCCTAGTAAGGCTCCAGCTTAATGTGGCTGCCAGGCGTAGATAGGCGGCACCAGATCAATTGGCTCCAAATGTCATTTTTCGTTCAGGGCGAGGAAGGAATTGTGCAGGGGCTGATCTTGAATTTAAGTGGCTGCCCTTGAATTAAGCCACCGCCCTCATGTGGCTTCCAGTTAGCTCCAGAAAAGGGTTGCCAGACTGAGCGAATAAATACATAATATGCCCCATTAAATTTGAATTTCAGATAAACAAAACAAAAATTTTTTAAAGATTTTATTTATTTGAGAGAGACAGAGCATGAGCAAGGGGAGAGGCAGAGGGAGAGGTAGAAGCAGACTCCCCGCTGAGCAGGGAGTCCGACATGGGGCTCCATCTGGGGACTTGGGGGATCACCACCGGAGTGGAAGGCAGGGCTCAACTGACTGAGCCACCCAGGCGCCCCTACAAAACAAATTTTAGTACTGAAGTATATTCTCTGCAATATTTAGGATATACTAAAAGGTATTTGTTGTTTATCTGCAATTCGTATTTCACCGAGTATGCTGAATTGTATCTGGCTACCCTCTACTAGATCGATGAATTACCTTGAACATAGCTCCCGGTGCCCAGGATCCAAATTGTACAGTGTATGTTGTATTATGGAGCAGCCCCGTGGTAGAAGAATGGTTTCCGCTAGGGCTCTAGGAGCGCAAACTTCACAATTAGCAAGAGCAGCTTTGATCTTCCAGCGGAAACAGACTTGGAGAATGAAAGAGAATGCATCCCTGGCAGGTAAGTTTCTCCACAGAGAAGCCACCACCCACGGCATTGAAAATGCCGGTTCATGCAAGAGAGCTCCGTATTTCCCAGGGCAGAGCCACACTCTCCGCAGCGAGTTGCCAGAAACACGAGACCCAAAGGAAAAGAGTAATTCAGCTGACTGAATATGGCGAATGGGAAATGAAGGCTTAGTGCCTGGAACTGCATCACTGCAGAAATATTAGCAAGAACATAGCATTTTTAAGAATGCCGCATTCTGAAGGGGGCTACAGTACGTATAGGTAGCTTTCTCCCGTGTGTTAATGCGTGGTGCCCAATTTAACCTCTTGGTGGAAGATTTCTTCCAAATGGAGTTTAAATTCCCAGGTTGTGGACTCTGGACAACTGATGGAGACTAACCAGTATCTTGGTGAATTGAGTCAAGATCTTCTCCATTCTCTCCTTCAGACACCAATGACTTTTTGCCTTGCACTTTGGCAACTGTAAGCACTGGGTTCTGAGAACATAATTTTATCTGGGATAATTGCAAATAGGGTCTGCCAATTGGCTTGCTTCCTAAATTTGGTAGCTGTAAAGCCAATGTTATGATATTCTTACCTTTCTTTGAACACATTGGAATTGTTAAAGGCAGAGTGTATGAGAGGTTGGAAGTTCAACTTCTCTGGTCCAGAATGAATTACACCTTTCCAGAGATCAGCCCAGTCTACTGCTGCTGAGCGACACTCACTCCACCCAAGCATCGAGGGATGTCTAGAGATACTGCACATAATCAGAGCAAAATCTGGTCAAAATCAGACATGACGGGGGAGGAGGGATATTAAACCTCAATTTCTTTGGGTTTTTAACTCACCAGGGTGGAAGCTTTTGGATATTATATCCTTTGGACTGTAGCTTAAGAATTTTGGATTTTGATTGATTGATTGATTGATTTGTTGTGTTGGAATAGTTCCGATTCTTTTTTAAATTTTTAAATATTTATTTTTTAATTTAAATTCTAGTTAGTTAACATATTGGTACAATACTGGTTTCTTAAGTAGAATTCAGTGATCACCCCCAGTGCTCATCACAACACGTGCCCTCTTTAATGCCCATCACCCATCTAGGGCATCCCTTAGCCTCTTCCTTCCATCAAGCCTCAGTGTGTTCTCTATAATTAAAGTCTCTTATGGTTTATTTCCCTCTCTCTTTTTGCCCCCTTCCCATATGTTCATCTGTTTTCTTTCTTAAATTCCACATATGAGTGAGATCATATGGTATTTGTCTTTCTCTGACTTATTTCGCTTAGCATAATACGCTCTAGCTCCATCCACATTGTTGCAAATGGTAAGATTTCATTCTTTTTTTTTTTTAAAGATTTTATTTATTAGACAGTGAGAGAGATAGCAAGAGAGGGAACACAAGCAGGGAGAGTGGGAGAGGGAGAAGCAGACTCCCCGCGGAGCAGGGAGCTGGATGCGGGGCTCGATCCCAGGACCCTGGGATCATGACCTGAGCTGAAGGTAGATGCTTAATGACTGAGCCACCCAGGCACCCAAGATTTCATTCTTTTTGATGGCTGCATAATATTCCATTGTGTGTGTGTATACACACACACACACACCCACACACACACCCACACACACACCACATCTTCTTTATCCATTCATCAGTCAATGGACATTTGGGCTTTTTCCATAATTTGGCTATTGTTGACAATGCTGCTATAAACACTGGGGTGCATGTGCCCCTTCAAATCTGTATTTTTGTATCCTTTGGGTAAATACCTAGTAGTGCAATTGCTGGATTATAGAGTAGTTCTATTTTTAACTTTTGAGGAATCAGATTTTGATCTCTTTAAAATTTAATCATCAAATTTCAATTTCTCAGGAGGAAGTTCATAATGGGAAAAGGTTTTCATTCAAATGTGAAGTAACTTTATATTATTGAAATTTTATTATTAATTTAAATAATAAAGGATTTGATATAAACAGTTATTGGATTATCTAAATACCATGAAGAACCTCTGACAATATGACTGGATGTAATTAGGTTGGAAAATAGAATAGGGAGCGTTTAGCCTTGATTACAGATTGGCCCAAAGAAAGAAATTAATGTATTTGCACTATTCCAGACCATATTAAAAGATGCAAAGCTTGCTAATTAATTTTATGAAGCTAGCATAATCTTAATATCAAAGTCTGATATTAAGATAACAGATACAAATATACAGGGGTCCTTTATCCAGGGGGATATGTTCTGAGACCCCCAGTGGATGCCTAAAACTGGATAGTACTTAACCCTATATATACTATGTTTTTTCCTACACATACGTACCTATGGTAAAGTTTAATTTATAAATTAGGTGCAGTCAGAGATTAACAACAACAATAATAAAGTAGAGCAATTATAACAATGTACTGTAATAAAAGTTATGTGAATGTGGTCTCTCAAGTTATCTTAATTCTACTGTACTCATTCATCCTTCTAATTGTGATGATACGAGATGATGAAATGTCTAGGTGACGAGACGAGGTTCGGTGAGTGATATAGGCATGTGATATAGCGTTAGGCTGCTGTCAATCTTCTTTTTTTTTTAAGACTTTATTTGTCAGAAAGAGAGAGAGAGCACAAGCCGGGGCGGGGGGCAGCAGGCAGAGGGAGAAGCTGGCTGCCCTCAGAGCAGGGAGCCCGATATGGAACTCGATCCCAGGACCTGGGATCATAACCTGAGCCGAAGGTAGATGCCTAACTGACTCAGCCACCCAGATGCCGCTCAGAATGAGGGTCATCTACTTCTGGACCATGGTTGACCATGGGTAACTGAAACAGTGGACAGTGAAACCATGAATAAGGGGGACTA